CTCGCGAAATGCTCTCATATGACCAAGGGTTTCAAGCAGCCTCTCGTGACGGAGGTGTTTTCCCACCAAGGTGAGAGAACGGAAAACCAATATCCGAGGCTATAACTGGTTCCGTGAACCACTGGCAGTTCACCTATGGAATAAGGTTAAAAACGCTGATTCAAAACCAACTAAAGAAAAACGTACGAGCTGCGCACACACCTGGTTGTGACAGTGATCACCGGCTTCATTGTGTATCCATCGTTGAGTTCTGCGTTCTGATTTCGTTTCCAGTCTTAGTTCTGGGTTGGACTATCACTTCGCGGAATCCGATACGTATACGAATTACCAATCCGAGCGCCAAAAATAACAACTGCCGTCGCGGTCATTTTGAACCAATGGAGTCCTGTAAGTTGGAGGACTTGAATATACATGCCAGTGCGTGCGAAGTCGAAGATTATCTTGAACGATTCGAGATTTGGTGTATTACGCGGAAAAGACTCGATGGAGAACGCAGAACGGCCAATTTCCTAATGGTCATCGGAAAGGATGCATACTCATTGTTGAAAAAGTTGGCATATCCTGACGCTCCTATATCGTTAACGTATGAATCCCTGAAAACCTTGCTGCTGAAGCATCTACAGCCGGCTAATTTCGAAGCCTTTGAGCGAGCCAAATTTCATTCACTCACACGTGGTGGAAGCCAGCCTGTACCTGACTTTATTCTTCAGCTTCAGACTCAAGCATCTCATTGCAGTTTCGGAGATCAATTACAAATCCAGCTACGTGATCGATTAATTGCCCGAAATTACAGCAAAAGCTCCTGCTCATGCACGATTGCACATTTCAGCCGGCTAAGGCAGTCTGTGAACAGTACCAAGACGTCCGTGGCATTATTGATGATGAACTCAACTTGTTATTCAGTGCCAGCAATTCCAAACAGTCACCATCCCGACGAAAGCGGTTCCTCGAAGAGGGCTCGAAAACACCAAGCAACATCAGTTCTCCAGCAAACAATGACCAACGGATTCAACGATGGAACAAGTGCAATTCCTATGGTCAAAGACATTCGCGGCTATCCTGTAGATTTCGTAATGCCAAGTGTCACAATTGCGGCAAGCTTGGCCATATTCAATCTGTCTGTAAAAGTGCGAAGTCGTGTCTTACAAAACGTACGACTGTTCATTCCTCTAAAGATTTATTGTGTGATTTACAGTCCTTAACTCTGGCCAATACCAGTTCAAGTCCCTCTCGTCACATTACTCGCGATTTCATCATTAATTACTCCATTCGCCATACATTCATCATGGACACCGATAGTGTTGATTCTTTCATTTCCAACAAGGCATTTCGTCAGTTAAACCCCCCAGTTGTACTTTCCCCAACAGACATTTCAGTTAAGGGAATCACCGGTCACTTTTTGCCCGTCTTAGGATCATGCGAACTGCTTCTTAAAGACCATAAATCACAAACATTTCACTGCCCGTTTTTGGATATTGTTTCCGATATTTCTATATTTGGTTTGAATTGTATGAATCGTATGCATCTGTCATTTTCATTCATGTCTGACTTCCATCAATCACGCCTTCATCACTTAGTACTTAAAATGTTCCAAGGTAAGGGTGGTATCAAAATGACTCTTGTGAGTCTCGAAGTGACCGGTTCACCGGTGTTTATGAACCGTCGGATTATCCCACTTGGACTTCGTGAGCCCGCAAAAATGGCGTTAGATGAAATGGTAAGCAAGAGAGTTCTGGCACCCGTAAATTCTTCGGCTTGGGCCACGCCAATCGTTACTCCTCTAAAACGTGACGGAAAGACTCCTAGGATATGTGGGGATTATCGAGTTACTGTGAACAGACAGCTGAAACAGTCCAGTTGTGCCACCGTCGAACCAGAAGACATTCTGCATCAACTTCATCGATCCAAATTTTTCTCTAGTCTAGACTTAAAAAATGCATTTCTTCAAATTCCTCTTGATAAAAAGTCACGTGAACTCACGACTATTAACACACCTTTTGGTTTATTTCGCTAGGATTTGCTATCTTTTGGACTCAGTGTTTCCCCCGCTATGTTTCAAACTACTATTGATTCCATTATTTCCGGCTTACAAGGTGTATGTGCCTATCAGGACAATATTATTGTCCATTTCCCTAGCAGACACTTAAATGACGAACGCTTGTGTGCTTTGCGTGAAAGATTTCGTTCTCATAATGTTTCTAATAACCCTGATAAATGTGCCTTTGTTACGACTAAACTTTCTTCTTTAGGTTATTTGATTGATGAATCCGGACTACATCCTGACCCTAATCGATTTTCTTCGTTGACTAATACTCCATCTCCCGAGTCATTTCATGAACTTCGTTCTTTGATTGGTTCTTTGCAATACTATTTCAAGTTTATTCCTAACTTTTCAACCCAATCTGCTCCATTGTTCGATTTACAGTCACAGCAAACATTTCCTTGGACTTCGGTCCATGAACGTGCCTTTTATCTTCCAGTGCTGTTTTACGTCCTTTTTCCCCACGGTTACATTCCACCGTCATCACGGACGCATTGCCCGTTGGAATTGGAGCTGTTTTGGGGCAGAATGGTCATCCGGTGCTGTGCATCTCACGTAAACTCACGGCTGCCGAACGTGGGTATCCCCAAACTCAACGAGTAGCTCTAGCTGTCTATTGGGCTGTCACGTGTATGCACAAGTATCTTTATGGTACTCATTCCACTATTGTGAGTGATCATGAAGCCCTACAGTTAATTTACAACCCTCAACATTCCCCGGCTAAGTCATCTGCAGCCATGGTACAACGATGGTGTATTGCGTTGTCTGCCTATTCCTACGACATCCATCATCGCAGCGCGCAGNGTCTTGTGCTACAATGACCGCATTATCGTACCTCCGACAGTACGTACTGCTGTTCTCAATGATTTACATTCCGATCATCTTGGCATTGAAAAGATGAAATCTCTTGCTCGTCTCACATGTTGGTGGCCTGAAGTGAATTATGATCTGAATCGTATTGCAAAATCCTGTGCTGAATGTGTGCACAAAACTCAGACAGCCTTCGAAATGGACTCCGTGGCCAGTATCTTCCGAGTCATGGCAAATAATACATGTAGATTACTGTGGTCCATTCTTCAACAAGTATTACGCATTAGTGATCGTCGATTCCTATTCCCTCTGGCCAGAAGTGTACTTTACCACAACACCCAGTTCAGAATTTACTATTTGAGCACTCAGGAAAACGTTCAGCAGAGAAGGTGTCCCGCATGCTATCGTGACTGACAATGGAAGTCATTTTACTGCCAAGAAAGTTACCGATTGGTTGAACTCCGTTGTCGGCATGTTCTCACTCCACCCCGACACCCGCAATCCAATGGCGCAGCCGAACACTTTGTGCGCACGCTGAAGAGTGCCAATGCTTCCTTGAATCCCAGTACATTCGATGAACTGGACAGAGGCGTTGATAACTTTCTGACGCAATACCGTAACGCAGAACATTCAACTACGGGACACAGTCCAGCAAAGCTGTTTAAGAGTCGAGTACTTCGAACAAATCTTCTACACTTGGAGTCTGCGGAAGTCATATATCATCGTGGTAACGATTTACGACCCTCCAGGGGCATTGTACTAGACAATATGGGACAAAGAGTATGTCGCATATCGGATCTAGACGATGTCACTGTACATCGTAGACATGTAGACCAAGTAATTTGTAATTTGCCCAATCCTGATACTAGTTGTGAACTTACTAATCCTTTTATTTCTGAGTCTTTTCCAGATGAATCACATCCCAGTACAAATGTCGAAAACAGTACAGAAGACCCCGGAAGATCTGAAAGATTACTCATCAAAGCCCNTTACAGTTCCATTCCGTCGTTGAGTTCTGTCTTCGGATTTCGTTTCGTCTTAGTTCTGGGTTGGACTATTACTGCAGGAATCCGATACATATACGAATTACCAGTCCGAGTGCTAACCACAACAAAAGCGCATTTGATAGATTAACAAATGCTGTTGCCCCATTCGGTATATGCTTTGCACCTTCAAAGTGCAAAGTGATACTACAGGACTTGGTGTCGCTTAGTTCTACCTTGAAACTAAATGGTCAGGAATTAGTTATGGTGGATTGCTTTTCTTACTTAGGTAGTTGTGTGACCAATGGCGGTGATGCAACAAAGACTCGAGCAGAGTACGCAGAACTGGAACACCTTTGACGTAGACGCGACGTTTCCCTGAAGATGATAAGTTGTGTATATTGTGCTACCGTTTGTTCATTTCTGGTTTGTGGTTGTGAAGCCTTGAATTTGCGAGTAGATGTCCACTGACTAGAAGCTTTCGATTTACGTAGTTTGATTCACGTGGGATGGAGTGAGCGGGTTAGTGATCTGGATGTCGTGTGTTTGGGAGTTTATCTGGGACAAATTTGCCACGGCATCGAGTTCAAATTAGTAGGCTTCGGTGCTTAAGATACACGTATTGCATATGCTCAGTTATCGGTTAACCCACCGCACTTTATTCGCTGTAGCTGCCCCAGGCTGGTTGTGGTTTTATTAGACTTTGGATCTTTATACCATGGGATCGCTGTTTACTGATAATGTAGATTTTACCTTTCTATTGTAGCTGATGTACCTACATTGTTAGAAAATTAAAGCCCCGTTTCCGGCTTTCCGTTTTCCCTCTCTCTCTCGTTTAGCGCTCAATCATTCAAGCTCATTACAATTTAATCTTCTAACAACGATGGATCACTTATTTCGCCCGGAACGATTTAATAAGGACCCTCATTCTTCATCCGCTTCCGAAAAGTGGATTCAGTGGCACGAAACATTCCGTAACTTCATACCTACTGTCGATCTACCCAACATTAATCAGAAAAAATTGCTGGTGAATTTCATATAGCCGTCCGTTTACCAACACAATCGTTTGTCCCAATTATGAAGACGTTATCAAAACTCTTGAGGGGCTTTACAGTAAACCAAAGAACGAAGTGTTCACACGACATCCATTGGCAACAGCTAAACGAGAACAAGGACAATCGATTGATAAGTTTACACCAAAACGCAAAAGGTGTTAACTTTGTTGCAGTTTCCGCCAAAGGACATCGCGATGAAGCTATCCGGGATTTTTCATTGCGGGATTGCCCTCCAACGATACCCACAGGAGGCTTCTTCATAAGCAAACCCTTTGTTTACAGTGTGCTTTTAGCGAGCCTCGTACTTCGGAGAGTGCATAGCAGCAGTCGCTCACTTACGATTCAGTCTTACATGTACCCTGTAGTTCCATGACTTACCAGACAGATTCCGCCATTTCACTACAACGTCCTGGAGTTTCCGATTCAAAACCAGAGATCAAAGACATAGTTGCAGTGGTTTCCGCCATATGCTTTTTCTGCGGAAGTTATTGACATCCTGATTCGAAATGTCCAGCTCGAGAAGCCACATATAACTCTTGTGGAAGGAAAGAGCATTTCCAAAAGGCTTGTCGATCCAATTCCAACACTCTTTTCAGATGTACATTATCCGTGCTAAATACAACCATTTCGTCCGTTGTTGCAGGATCATCATTCGTCGGTGTCTCCAATGTCACGGTAACAATTCAAGTCAATGGAATCACTCTGAACGCGCTAATCGATACAGGCAGTTGCGAGAACTACCAACATTGCTGCTAAACATCGATGGCCTGTAGAGTCATCTAAACATACCATACCAATGGTCTCCATCCATCTGTCCTGTTACCCAAGGGCACGTGTACGCCTCTATTCAATACAAAAACGCGCACTACAATAGGGTAGAACTTTCCCTTTTAAAAGATTTGAGCACCGACGTCATTCTCGGTCTAAATTTCCTCGATCGATATCAGAATGTAATCATTCCCTTTAATGGTAATCGTCTACTTTTCTCTGCATGTACTCTCAATGCAGCAAAAGTGGACATTCCCCATTTCCTTAAAAATCTAGCGTCAAATGATGTACCAATCACTAGGAAATCGCACCGTCACTCAGTTTCTGACCTCGATATTATCGAATTCCAAGTCAAAAAAATGTTGCTAAACAAGATTATAGCGCCTTCCACATCTCCATGGCGGGCACAGGTTCTTGTAACAAGCAACGAGAGACATAAGAAACGGATGGTAATTGAATACAGCCAACCGATGCT